TCTACTAGACAGTCTCATTGTCACCCAGTCTGATATCTTCCATTACTACCAGAGAGATCTACATAAAGTAAATGGTTGGAGCCCGGGAGTATCATTACATGTTTGTAAATGTAGATCGTAAAGGTTTGTATAATCCCGAGAAGGACTGTTTTTGTTGTTGTTGGCTGACGTTTCGACGACCTTAGCGGTGGTCATCTTCAGAGTCAAATGATAACTACCGCTAAGGTTGTCGAAACGTCAGTCAACAACAACAAAAACAGTCCTTCTCAGGACTATACCTGCCTGGACGATCTACATTTACAAACATATAGAGATCTACAGGTCAATACAGTGAATAGTGATGCAGCCACACGACACTGTTCAGTCACATTGCATGCTGGGTCTAGGGATATCACGTTTAAGATCGACAAAAGAGCCCAGGTAAATGTCTTACCCAAGAATATGTACAAAAATTTAGAATTTCGTCCAACGACAACAAATTCCTCTAAACTGTCTGCCTACAATGGTTCTCCAATACTTGTCAATGGCAAATGCATCATTCATGTGAATCATAAAAGACAGCAGCACCACTTTTTATTCATCATAGTGTTTCCGATACCTCACCCATCATAGGACTAGCTACATCAGAACGTCTAAGTTTGATCAAACTTGTCTACAAGGTAACAGAATCCGATGCCATAATTAATTTCCAACACCATTCCTGCTGAGTACCAATAATGTTTTGGTGAGATTGGCAGCCTACCGTCAATATACGGATGGCGTTAAAGGTAAGTGCCTTAACCGTGGTAGTACCTCCTCGCAAAGTGCCTTGTGCCCTAAATGCTCGATTGAAGAAGGAATTTAACCACATGGAATGAATGGGTACAATTGAAAATATAGAAAAATTTACCGACTGGGTAGATTTTGCCAACTAAATATGCCGTATGGGATTCACTCAGCTATTGAGATCTTCCAACTTGAAATCTCCAAGATCATTGCTGGCTGCGTAGGTTGTGTCAACTCTCTAGATGATATAATCTTTTAGGGGGGGAAATAACGAAATCCATGATCAGCGCTTACAGAAATTCCTTGTTAAAACCAAAGAAAGTTGTCTGAAATTAAACAAATCAAAGTACATCTTTGGTGCCACTGAATTAACTTTTCTTCGTCATGTCATGTCCGCAGACGGAGTTAAAACAGACCCAAAAAAGGTTAAGGCGATCACTCGAATGCAGATTCCAACCACAGAAGTTGAACTCCACCGATTCCTTGGCATGGCCAATTACCTGGGAAAATTCATCCCTAAATTGTTAGATCAAGCAGCACCACTCAGAGTCCTCTTAACGAAGAATACTGAATTCATCATGCAAAACTACAACTGGATTCCTTCGAGAAACTCAAGTGCCAAATATCTTCTCTGCCTGTCCTGCAATTTTATGAATCAAACCTCCCAACTCGCATATAAACAGACTCCAGTTCAATAGGTTATGGTGTAATTCTAGAGCAGTGTGTTAATAGTACCTGGCATCCCGTTATATTTGTCTCCAGAGCGTCGAATACGTCTGAACAAAATTACGCGCAAGTATAGCAAAAAACCCTGTCCGTCATTTTTGGATGCAAAAGATTCTAAAAAAATCTTTATGGTCGTCCATTTGTTGTTCAAATTGATCACCAACCATCAAAACACTTTTCTCCAAAAGCATTGTGCAATGTCCTCCACGTTTGCAACGATTTTTTGTCGCTTGCAAAAGTACGATTTCACGCATGAATATGCATACGGTAAAACAATAAAAGTTGCTGATACCCTCAGTTGAGGTTCTGTCAACAGTAACCCAGACATAATTTTAGAAGAAATAGCTCATCATATCCTCTCAGTCATCAATAACCTTCCCGTTAGCGAAGACAGACTTTTAAAGGTGCAACAAGAGAAGCAAATAGATCCAGCTCTACAAAACTTAAAGCAGTACTCAATCAATGGTTGGCTCTCCAAATACCAAATTGACTTTACTACAAACATGACCTGCTCCTCAAAAAGCAGCAAATCATCGTACCTACCTCGATGTGTCGTGAAATCAGAGAGAGATTATATATGAAGGACATGAATGGATGGAAAAATGCAAAAACCGGCACGCAAAGCAGTGTATTGGCTAGAGATGAACCACGAATTAACTTTGCTCGTATCTAAATGTGCCGTAATCGACATGAAAGGAGTCATAAATGCCACACGAAGTTCCTGACCAACCCTGAGTTAAAGTCGGCACAAATCTTTTCACACTTTACAACCGAGACTTTCTCATAATAACTGACTATCACTCCAAATTCATCAAGATAGCTTACATAACAAGGCCAGTGGACTCTCCTTCAGTTGTTCAAGCTATGACAAAAATATTCAGCCCACATGGAATACCACAAATCGTGTTAAGCAATAACGGCCCTCAAAACGCCGCCTCATCCTTCAAACAATTTGCTCGTGAGTGGGAGTTTCAACATGACTACTCAAGTCCTCACTTCCCACAATCAAATGGCCTCGTCCAGAGATGACGTAAGCCCAGAAGGCTAAGAACAATCCATTTCCACCTCCTACAAATTGTACCACAAGAACCCACGCACAACCCTTCCCACAGCAAAGGACCAAATAACAACTGCCGCTCCCTTCAACTCGACCGTCAAGGCCGCGTACGATGTTCATTCTCGATACCAATCAAAAATATTGCGTGGCTCCACTGTCCGAATTCAAACTGGTCATGACATCAGCTGGACACAAGCCAGACAAGTAGTAAAGAAGAGCAAGGAACCTAGAGTATCATACCAAGTAATAAAGGAAAAAGAAACATAGTCCTTAGGAACAGGCGTCACCTTCTACCAACAAAAGAACCATTCAAAGTCATGACCAACAATGATGACCTGCAATTGCTGTTAAAAGCCAATTTCAGCAAGGCAACAGGACCAAGACCTCAAACATCCCAATACTACCGATCCTTTCATACTTCAGGACGATATATTAACTGCAACATGTCACAAAAATAAACACCTAACACACATTTATAGTATGTTATTGATAAAACAGAAGATGTTGCATGTTAATGTCACTCACGTGACCTCTCTATGGGAGGTAAGTTTTGGAGAAAAAAAACGACAGCATGTGATATAGATAGTTGAGGAGAATATTGTAAAAAATCGTACACCAAGTTTTAGGGCAATAATACAAAATAGCACACAGAAAGAAATGAATCCCTGAGAATTCAGCATAGACTTTTTTACAAACATCTACTTTTAAAAGTGTGAATCTATTTAACTTTACCTGCCACATTCAACCTTCAACTTGCGACACTATAGAGACACGTTTTTATGAGATTTTTTCAAAATATTTAGGTTTTACTTTCCTGCAATTTGGCGTATGGACTATTTTTAACAAAAGCACACAATGTCAGGGAAAAATGTGTTCATGTTTCTTTGCTAAACAGCGCAACTTGAAAAAAAAATTAAATTTTAAGAAGTTTCCTTGTTTTATCCCTTCGATCCATGTTTTATCTCCACATGCGTGGTTTATTCCCTTATCCGTGTTTTATCCGTTCATCCGTGTATCATCCCTTCGTCCGTATACGTACCCGTGACATCCGTATGCGTGTTTCATCCCAACCCCGAATAATATCGTGTGTGTTATTCATCGGTTGAATGAATAATATATCAAACATCATGCGTACATGTCTGTTGACATTTTAGTGCTTAGACCAAAAAATGGTTTTCATTAGAATCTTAATGAATATAATTCTAAATTCTGGTGAAAACATATTTCATCATTTTTATTTATTGCAACTTTAACTTAAATGATACACGCCTCTGAGCTAATTCGCGTAACACGTAATGTATGCAAGAGCGCAAATGCAAATTGTATACATTTAAGCAAATTTATGCCTTTATTATAGGCAATTGATTTTTTAATGCATTTAAGACGTGTAGAAAAAACATTCAATTGCTTTCTTTATGTTTTACTCTGTAATGTATCTGAGCAGATTTTACATAACTGGAGCAATACTAGTACTTTAATTCAAGTTTTATGTATAATAATGGATCCCCCCCCCCGTGAGAGTACGTCTCCACAACACAGACTTCGCTGAATTTGTTTCGAAGTGTGTCATGATGATCATTTCTTTATCACAGACAACCACTTGCGTTAGCAAAAAGCTATGTAAATATATGCTTTTCATCCTTATTTGTTTAAACGAAACCATTGGCACAATGTAATTGACTTGATTGACCATGTAAAACGTCGTGATCTTAATTATTTAACTTTCTCCTCAACGGCTGTCACGCGCCTTTTTGTTTGACACTGACGTAGTGTGGATTTGCCGTACTTGATCTTAAAGTCGCTATAATTATATGACGGCTACTGCATTCTAACGACATCAGATACAAGACAATTACTGAATTTTAAAAAGTATTTAAAGCTTAAAAAAGATAACGTCAATTATTAAATAAAGTGGTGCGTTTTATCAAGATCAAATTCCATTAAAGCAGGAGAAAAATACGGCAACTTATGCATTGAAGGAGAACTAAAAAATTTTATAAAACGAAATGAAACGCTTCTTAATAAGCGAAGCCAAATTTTTTCTCAATAAGTCCATTCACGTAAATTCCACACTGGGCGATTCAAAAAACTACGCGCGTCAGCAAATGAACAACGTGATGTAGTATATAATTGAAATTAACCGTTTTTTTGCATTTCAGTTGCTTCGTGATTGCATTTGGCATGAAACATAAAGTTCTCTCAATAAAAAACTTGTTATACTTTGAGTAAATAATTAAATTTCACTCTACTAATGTATTGAGCACTCTTTCTATTCACAGCTAATAATTTGAGGCAGAATTTTTTCTTTTAGTTTCTGTTTTCCATAATTAGCTACTTTTTTAGTACTTAACTGTTTTAATGAGATGTGACAACGACTATATAAGTTGTTGCCCAAGCACCATGATTTAAAGCAGTCATAAGAACCATAATTATTTAACTTCCATGCTTTTACCTGAAATTATTTCGGGAGATTTCAACTCGCCTCCAATTTCTAAATAAATAAATTGTTGTTATTCTTTTATAGCAGTTTGTAATAATTGTAGTTCATATAAGAGTCTAAATATGTATGTGACTTATTGCAATCAGATTTGTAACAGAAGCTATCGCAAGCCCATTCGTGTATTTAGAGCGCTTAACGCTAATACACTGCGGTATAATTGAACATTAAATAAAACATGAATTATATCAAGATATTGTATTTGCTATGAAAGTGTGTTTTATGTATCATTTGTTTATTTTGCCACAAATGAAAGATAAATAATCTTTTCACGTTGTGTGCGATACAATCGTATGATTGATCCCCTATGTGATCAATTTGATCTCATTAAGATCAAATCATTACTCTTAAGTTAGCAGGACCATTGTTCTTAACCCAAAAGTGGGGTGAACATTAAAAAATTTGAAAATGTTGTGAGTATGGAGGTTATCAATCTCGTCTGCATGTATTGCTGTGATTGCGTCATCTACGTAGTGAAACCAAAAAAGTAGTGCATGTTTATAAGTCATGATCACCCGTTCCTCTATAGATTGCATTACAATTTCAGCAACTACAACAGAAACGGGCGAGTTCATTGCTGTCCCATGTAATTGTTTGTAGCGTGTTCCTTTGTATTGGAAGTAAGAAGAGATGAGGCAGAGCTCCAGTAGCTCCATAACGTCTTCTGTTGGTAATGGCAGTACGTCCGTGGTGTTTGTAATGAGGATTTTTGTACAAGTAAGTGCCAGATTAAGTGGATTACTGGTGAACAGTGATTCGACTTATTCACAATACAAACAAACGATCAACTAAAAACATTACACTTCACACTAATTCACAATGACAATACACAATTCACACCCACACATTACAACTAAAAACCTCACACCTAAATCACATATCACAACTAAAAATATAATATTTCACTTCACACTAATCCACAGTGACAATACACATTTCCTGTACACACAATACAATGACGTAAAAACCAGATAACAAATACGGCTAACGTTTACTCCTCAATTGACTCTGAAGATGACTACCGCTAAGGTTGTCGAAACGTCCGTCAACAAAAACAAAAACAGTCCTTCTCGGGACTTTATTAACCTGGAAGATCATCATTTACAAACATGTAAAGAATGAATTATTCCTCTAGCACAAAGCCTTTCCAGTTTTTCCTTCTCTTCAGTCGACATTTTCGTAAGAAACGAAATATGGGCGACTTTATTTCGTTAAAGCCGCCCAACGTTGTGCGCCATGTCATGCACGTTGCACGACAAAATCGTTATTTTTATTCTCGAGCACATAATTTTGAAATTGACGATAATTTAAAGGATTATTTTGAGTCTTCATTGTACAACGAAGTCGTCTCAAAGAAAACTACTTCACAATTCAATAACAACATCTCGAATCTATAATGTCAAAAACAACTCCTCCCTTCTGTAATAATCCCAAAGTGTCAATCACGTGAAATGCACGCAATCCGCAACAACAAAAACAAAAAAAAAAACAACTGTTCATCACACTCCCGACGTTGATCATATTGATCAATTTTTTCAATGAATTTTTACTATTTGACTGTCGCAATAGGTCTGCAATCACGGCTTCTGTTCTTCGTTTTCGGGTTTTCATAGTTTTCGTCTTTAGATTCATTTCCACTAGTGGTTTTTGAATGCAAAATATGTCTGTTAAACCGTAAAAAAGCACGTGTGCTGACTTGCACGTGTGTTAAAAAAGCACTAAAATGCCTTGTAAACAAATTGCACGTGTAAAAGAGCGCGAACTATGCACGTTGTTTAAATTGTTGAAAAATAGCACACGTGCTATCGTGCTAAAAAAACACACAGCACTTAGGTCGGAAAAAGAGCTGTATTGAAAAACAAGGTACGCGTGTTTTTAATGGAATGCAGTATTAGGCAATTTAAAAGAGTCGACTATGGACAACGACTACGGAACACTGTTTTGTAAACCCAAAACTTCGAATTATATTTAAAAAATTAAAAACTTATATTTTAGCGAAATGCAGTTAATAGTCTTTTTAAAAATAATGGCGTATGCACCGCTTTAAGGCATCTAACAAACAGACAGAAAAGTTTTACAAACAAGTTAATGCATGTTTTTCGGGATTTTTATCGTCATTTTTAAAAGCTAAGTATGGATTAACGTGGAAGAATTATTTTATTTTTTAGTACTATAATTGTTTTTGGAATTCATGTTTGTTTTTTACATATTATTAGTTTACATAAAGGTATGTGTTCGTAAGTGCAATATTAGTAGCCTACCTTTGGCAAATATACAACACATATGTATTAAAATGTTTGCAGCGCACGGTCTGTTACGATGAAATGGGGAGAGTTATCGTTTGTTCATACAATTTAGTTAGGCTAAGGGATTTTTGAGCGAATCTCGCACAATGCCCGCATAACGTGTGGTCCTATCTTTTCAATAAATAACGAAACAATACGAACGTCGTGCTAAATTGACGTGAGAGATTATGGAAAGCCATAGAGGATCGAGAATTTTTTCTGTTTGAGATATTCTTTGTTTGGTTGAGATGGGTTTTTTCTATTGAGATTACTTTTTACTGTTAAGAATGCATGTTTTATAGTTCAGATGTTATAGTTCAAAAATTTTTTTTGGAGTCGAGAATATTTTTACAGTCAAGAATTTTTTGGAGTCAAGAATTATTTTGGAGTCGAGAATTTTTTCACAGTCAAGAATTTTTATGGCAGTCAAAATTTTTTTTGCACCAATTTTTTCCGCGTTTATGGGCGCATTAAAAACAATATGACGACAGAATCTTCATCAGGTACAAAAGATATATTTCGAAAATATTTAACCGTATCGAGGAATACTCGGAGGCCTTGGCAAGTTCCGGGGCATTTTCCAATAACTATGCTAGTGTTGAAGTTCATGACTCGGTTGAGAATGAAGTAAGAAAGACGTTTGGACAACATTCATTATCATTGGGCATGGAAGTAAATCAACGCAGTTGCACTGCACAAATCATGCGTCAGTTACTTCCTCTTCCCATATTGCCACTCGTTCCTACAATACCAGAAGATATTTCGGTTACCAACGGTCAACTATGAGATCAAATCGTCGAAGAAATTGTTATAAATCGAAAAAAGTTATTACTGTGCCATTTTGCGTGATCTTATGTTACTATCAGTTCCAGATGACAAGAATGTACCTCATCAAGGAGGAGGAAAATTTTTTCTGCAGGAAAATGGACACATCATCAGTGCGTTTGAATTTCACAAAGATTGGACTGACCTTGACGTAGAACTTGAAATACTCCAAACTTTTCAAGGAGCCCTGCCTAATGACGTGGAAATTGAGATTGTGCATTCTGTCTATACAGCACTTCTCAAACCTACAGTAGCTCAAGGTCATTACTTAACTGCTTTTGTAATCAGCAGAATCTTTAATAACAAAAAAACAAGTTTATATTAGGCCATGTAGACAAAACCTAAATCAATCTACAAATAAAGAGAAACGTAAAAGGTACAATCTCCCAGAAAATGTGTTTGACGATGTTGAGGATGATCAATTATGGAGGTTATCAAATGATCCAAGTCTTAATGAAATCTTAACCAAAAATTTTCAAGGTAGAATTCGAGAAAATATTCTTTTTTTATTGTTTTAGAGTAAAATCTCTTAAGAAATCTATAGCAGTGACATGTTCTAGCGATGAAAAGAGATTAAAATATATAACATAAAGCTTTTTATACATTGATTGTGTCATCTAGGTAGCGAAACCAAAAAGGTAGTGGATGTTTGTATGTCGTGAGCGCCTGTTCCTCTATAGATTGCATTACAATTACAGCAACTACAACAGAAACCCAATATATGGTACATTTATGCAGTAAAAAATTGTTTTGTTGATAAAGTATAGTGTATATTAGTAGTATAAGACATGGGGGTATCAGCGCAAAAAAAGACCATGGTTCAAAGGGGAACCAACACAAAAGGTCATGTAAAAAAAGCTGCGCAAAAAAAGTCATTGTTTCAAAGTAGTGGTAAAAGGCCGTGTTTTCAAAGGGGAACCAACGCAAAAGGCCATGCAAACAAAGCTGTGCAAAAAGCCTATGTTTTCAAAGGGGGGTAAAAATCTCGAGTTTACAATCTATCGTTTAAAAATATGGAATCTATATGTTTTTTGAAATATATAGGTGTGTTTTAATTTTACAAACAGTCTTTACAAATAAATGTTAATAAAGCATCAGTTCGGAGGAAACTCGGCAGCGCAGACCACAAAGTGCTCGAGCAGGGGGATGGAGTTTCCGAGAATTCTTGCGAGCCTGGTGGGTAAAAAATTCTAGCTTTAGCTAGAATTTTCGGCTCGCCCCCGTGGTGTCCGAAGGACGACAGACATAACATATGCTCTTTAAAAACTATCTTTAAAAACTATCTTTACAAATAAATGTTAAAAATGCATCGGTTCGGAGGAAACTCGGCAGCGCAGATGACAAAGTGCTCGAGCAGGGGGATGGAGTTTCCGACAATTCTTGCGAGCCTGGTGGGTAAAAAATTCTAGCGCTAGAATTTTCGGCTCGCCCCCGTGGTGTCCGAAGGACGACAGACATAAAATATGCTCTTTAAAAAATATGGAATCTATATGTTTTTTGAAATATATAGGTGCGTTTAAATTTTACAAGCAGTCTTTACAAATAAATGTTAATAAAGCATCGTTTCGGAGACGATCCGGCATCGCAGAGCATGATGTGAATATTACGAAGTAATATTTACTCCATGCTCGAGAAGGATGGGATCGTCGAGTATCCCTGCGAGCCTGGTGGGTAAAAAATTCTAGCTTTAGCTAAATTTTCGGCTCACCCCCGTGGTGTCCGAAGGACAACAGACATAACATATATTCTTTAAAAACTATCTTTAGAAATCAAGTGTTAAATAAAGCCTTCACATAAAACAAAACTATGGAAACTATATGTTTTTTTAATTTGTCTGTCAAGCGCGTGTCACATGTACATGTTTAACAATGGTTGCTTAATGGA